GCACCATCGTTCAAAAGAATCTATTCTTCGGCGCTCGACCTTCCTGACGGTCCAACTCTTGCAGCCATACGTGACTACTGGAAATACCATTGCTTTGACCATGCGGACTTTTGTTGGCAGGGTGATGTCTCTACTTTTTATCATGCTGTTTAGGTTCGCCGTCGCTTTCCTCCCAAGGAGCAGGCGTCTTTTAATTTCATGGCTGCTGTCATAGTCTGCGGTGATCTGGGATCCCAGGAACGTGAAGTCTGTCACTGCTTCCACGACTTCGTCTTCTATTTGCCAAGGAGCCATGATCTTAGTTTTTTTGACGTTGAGCTTCAAGCCCACTTTTGCGCTCTCCTCTTTTACCCTGCGCAAGAGGCTCTTTAGGTCCTCTTCCCTTTCTGCCATTAGAGTGGTATCGTCTCCATATCTGAGGTTGTTGATCTTTTCCCCAGCAATCTTAATTCCCGCTTGTGATTCATCCAGGCCAGCATTTCGCATTATGTACTCTGCATATATATTAAATAAGCAAGGTGACCATCTTAATAATAACTAATTATCTTATGGCATTGTGTGTAGAATAGCCGGGAGATCCTAAGATTATCTGGCAGGAGGAAGCCCTAGCTCTTTAGCATTATACACCACTAGGTGGTGAGCTAGACTTTTTTTTTAAGGCTAGATACGTTTCAGAGATGGTTTTCCATTGCCTGTCTCTGCGTCGCAGCCCTGGTATTCCTTGGAGGCCACCCTTCCGAATATTAGCCAAGGCTGACCTTGCTTAGCTTCTGAGATCTGACGAAATCGGGCTAGTCTGGGCCATCCAGGTCAGCTGCATTGTTTACTTTGCAGAAAGCCAGGAGAGTGAGAGCCTTTCTGAGCTCCTCAGGGAGGCCGTTCCACAAGGCGGGGGCCCCAACAGAGAAGGCCCTGCGTACGGGCAGTTGTTGACTTTGCCCATTTGCAGGTTGGCACCTGAAGAAGACCCTGCTCCAATGAGTGAAGGTAAAGGTAAAGGTTCCCTTGCTCGAAAGCCAGTCGAGTCCGACTCTAGGGTTGCGGTGCTCGTCTCCATTTCAAAGCCGAAGAGCCAGCGCTGTCCGAAGACATTTCCATGGTCATGTGGCCGGCATGACTCAACACCAAGTGTACGTCTTCGTTAAAACATTCCTGCCCAACCTTTTCTTTCAGTGGGGCCTAAAAGATTGGGTTGCATACAGCAAATTAGCAGTAGCCGTTCCGGGGGGTCTTGCTGCCCCCCATCCCATAGATCGTTTCCTCCCCAGCACAGTTTTGATTGATGTCAGGACAGAGTCTGGGGGCACATTTAGGTGCAAAGTGGGGAATTTATTAAATTCCATACTGGCATCGAGGGAGGCTGTAATAGCTGCAGTCTTCCACATTAACAGTTTCCGCATTAACCGTCTTTAAGTATCAAAGTCAACAGTTCTCCGGGGAGCCGTTTTAGGCGGCATTGTTAGCAGAACGGGAGATTGCTGAAATAGCACTGTTATTGAAACGGCATTTTCCGCGAGCAAAGACAACCTTTTTAATAAGCATCGCCCAGGAGTAGTTTAGTGTCGAATCCCCCCAAGATAATCCATCGGGCACAAACCGCAGAGACTGATATATGCTACTTTCTTCCGCAGGTGTGAATGGCAGCCACTGAGAGTCAGTCTGGTGTAGTGGTTAAGTGCGCGGACTCTAATCTGGGAGAACCGGGTTTGATTCCCCACCTCTCCACTTACAGCTGCTGGATGACCTTGGGCAAGCCATAGTTCTGTCAGAGCTGTCCTTGAAAGGGCAGTTCTCGTAAGAGCTCTCTCAGCCCTACCCACCTCACAGGGTGTCTGTTGTGGGGAGGGGAAGGGAAAGGAGATTGTAAGCCGCTCTGAGACTCCGAGTAAAAGGCAGGGTATAAACCACCACCTCCACCACCTCCACCACCTCCACCTCCTCCTCCTCCTCCTTCTTCCCTCTTTGAAGCTATCTTCAGGGCTAACTTCATCAACACCCCGGAGAGACAGAGGTCGGCCAGTGGATTAAATCAGAGCTCTGTGTCACTTACAGATGACATCCTGGAGTCGTTCGACAACCACCCCCCGATCATGTTGCCCAGCGGGGGGTTCAAGGTGGACCTGGAGGTGGAACACCTGGACGACAACATCTACCGCCATCTCCTCTACATCCGTCACTTCCTGTGGAGCCTGCGCAGCAAAAGCCCCCACCCCAGCGACTCGCCGGAAGCGGAACCCCCCAAGGTAATGCTCGCTCAAAATGCCTATCCGGAAAGGCAAATTTGCAGGGCAACACAAGGAGGGAAGCTCAGGCCCCCCAAACCACATTGTCTTATTTACATGGGGAGAACCCACAATTCAATTTTTATAGCCCCCCATAGGGGATTTTTTATTGGCATTTACTAAAAACTACAACAAAATTAGGGAAGGAATCTACACACTATTTGTTGTTCAGTCGCACAGTCGAGTCCGACTCTTTGCGACCCCATGGACCACCAGATCACGCCAGGCCCTCCTGTCTTCCACCGTCCTCTGAAGTTGGCTCAATTTCAGGTTCGTTGCATCTATGACACTGTCTAACCATCTCATCCTTTCCCGTCCCCGTCTTCTTTGACCTACACACTATAGGAGAAAGAAAAGAAAACCCACTAAAATCCCAAGGGTTGGAGGTCACATACAGCTTGTAAAAAAAATTGCTTAACAATAATAAAGAGCTTTCTTTTTTTCCAGGACTGTCCCGCTTAAATTCTTGCCTTCAGTCATAGGGGTCGTTCCAATTTGCTTTTCACTGCCCGACTTGAAGAGAGTCTCGTCACTTTATTGCCCAGCGGACTGAGAGCCCACAATTCCATGCATTGCTGGTCAGACTTGCCACCGTCCCCCCCTCCCATAGTGTGTTTTGAGGGAGCCCAGGGCCCCAGACACTTTGGTGTTTGGTGTCGTGGTGAAGTGCGCGGACTCTAATCTGGGAGAACCGGGTTTGATTCCCCACTCCTCCACATGCAGCCAGCAGGGTGACCTTGGGTCAGTCACCAGTTCTCTTGTAGCTGTTCTGAAGAGAGCTCTCTCAGCCCCACCCACCTCACAGGGTGTCTGTCTGTTGTGGGCAGGGGAAGGGAAAGGAGATTGTAAGCGGCTCTGAGACTCCTTCGGGTAGTGATGGACGGGGTGTAAATCCAATCTCCTCCTCCTCCTGTATTTATCCCTGTCACCATGTTCTCCAAGGCAGACTTCCTCCGAACATGGAGGCTCCACCAAGGCCAGCAAGCCTCCAGTGAGGCCTGCCCACTGTGAAGCCCGCAAGCCAGCCCCTCTCACCTCGAATTGACCTTCCCAGCGGAGCCGGCCTCTCATTCATCGCAAACTTTTTGGCTCCAGACCCCTCGCGTTCCCCACCAGGCTGTGCAGCTGCCAGCCGCTTGCTCCAATCCAATCTCATTAAGCTGGGACGTTTCCTGATGAATGCTCCCTTTGCTTTTCCTTCTCTGAGCCCCGCTGCTCCTCTGCTGCCGCCGAGCCAAGAAGGGGCTCCACTCCGCTTCCTTCTCAGCCTTTGACTTTGCTGCGTTCTCTCCCTCCGTCCTCCGGCCGTGCGTATCGTACAGCGACTCTATATTGCCTTTCACACCGGAGGATTCTCGGCACCGATTTCTTTGCTCGACACGGAAGGATGCGGGCTGAGAGCTTTGTGGCGCATATGCTGTCGGGAGTTAATCGGTGTGGGTTCCCACCGGCTAGCAGAGGGCTTAAATAAAGCTACAAACACAGAAGCATTTCTTTCTGCCAGTCACCCTGCTTACGAAGCTAGACAGAGCCACGTTGCAAGTTTAAAAGAGAGATACTCCTCTCTTTATTTGAGAAGTACACTTTAGACAGGAAAGAGTAGGGACAGGATAGAGTACCAGGGGTCATTTCCTGCGGGAGCGCACAGGAGCGGAGCTCCGGCAGTAAAGAGCCCAGGGGGCGGGCACATGCAACAAGCCCCACCCCCTGCTCCCAGCAGCCCTCAGTCAGAGCAAGAAGCAGCCAGGTAAGTTGCAGAGTCTCCCCCTGCCCCCCCGGCCCAAAAGAGTCCAGTGGCACCTTTACGACCAAGTTTTATTCAGGTACAAGCTCTCCCTCCTCTGTGAGGACAGATCTGCGCATCCCCCCCCAATAGCTAGCAATCCAAAACAGTCCAGTGGCACCTTTAAGACCAAGTTTTATTCAGGTACAAGCTCTCCCTCCTCTGCGAGGACAGATCTGCACGCCCCCCCCCCCGCAATAGCTAGCAATCCAAAACCGCCCAGTGGAGCCTGAGCGGTGGGTGTTGCCTTCTGACACACTCCCGGTGAGGTCAGGGGTGTGTGGCCTATGTAAATGAGTTATGCTAATGAGTTATGCTAATGAGCTCCTGCACCTCTTTTTCTACGAAACGACCCCTGTAGAGTACTAACTTACTAGCTAAAGGATGGAAGCAGGTGGCGAGAGGCCGATCTGCCTCATGGTTCCAAGAGAGGAAGAGGCGGAGATTGGTTTTATACCCCACGGCCCTTCACTACCCGAAGGAGTCTCAGAGCGGCTCACAATTTCCTTTCCCTTCCCCTCCCCACAACCGACACCCTGTGAGGTAGGCTACGGGCCTGGCATCCTTGCTACACCCCTGGAGAAGCGGGTACACGCTCCAGGAAGGCGAAGGTGCTTTATCTAATCGTCCTGGCAGGGAGCTTGAGAGGTAGAGCTGTTTGCTTGCCCCCTGCTGGGAGCCCGAGGGCCAGCAGGGAGCAGCTAGGAGCTTATTTGCAGCTTTCCTTTCTCTTTGGGGCAGCGTGTTTAAAAACCCCGGTGGAGAAGACAGAAGGTCAGTGTATGGGATTAGCCCTGCACTAATCCCCTAACCTGAAAGCAAGGGGTCAGGAAGGCGAGGCCCCAAGATTGGATTTATACCCTTTGGCCCTTCACTACCCGAAGGAGTCCCAGAGCGGCTTACAGTCTCCTTCCCCTTCCTCTCCCCACAACAGACACTGAGAGAGCTCTTCCAGCAGGCACCCTGTGAGGTAGGCTACGGGCCTGGCATGGACCGTCCTTGCTACACCCCTGGAGAAGCGGGTGCACGCTCCAGGAAGGCGAAGGCGCTCTATCTAATCGTCCTGGCAGGGCGCTTGAGAGGTAGAGCTGTTTGCTTGCCCCCTGCTGGGAGCCCAAGGGGCAGCAGGGGGCAGCAAGGAGCTTATTTGTGGCTTTCCTTTCTCTTTGGGGCAGCGTGTTTAAAAACCCCGGTGGAGAAGACAGAAGGTCAGTGTGTGGGATTAGGCCTGCGCTAATCCCCTAACCTGAAAGCAAGGGGTCAGGAAGGCGAGGCCCCAACAATCTTCTTAGCGAGGACGTAGCGGTTGAGCCGGCATTGTGGACAGCCAGGCCAAGTCATGGCGCACGGGGTTCAAACCCCTGCTCAATCACGAAGTGGATTATGTGCCCATGGGGGTGGTGTGTTAAAGCAGCGGGACCCCAACCCTGCCTTACAATGTCCCCACTGGCTTTCTGAAAAGCTCGGCGGGGTGCCCAGGCGAAGCACTGGTAGGTTCCATGGTGCCCGTGAGCGCCAGGTTGGGGAACCCTGTTATTAAGACACACACACCCCAATCAGACTGAGTTCCTCGGTGCAAGGGGCAGGATGCAAAGGTGGTTGATTAAATTAAAAATGTTTACCTGACATAGTCCTCTTCCTCCCAAGGGGATGTTGCAGGGTGGTTAGAAGAGGAGAAGAGATTGGATTTATACCTCACCATTCACCCGAAGGAGTCTCAGAGCGGCTTACAGTCTCCTTCCCCTCCCCACAACAGACACCCTGTGAGGGAGGCGGGGCTGAGAGAGCTCTTC